TCTCAACAAAATTCTAGCCAGTAGAATTCAGCATCATATAAAAAAAGTAATAATACACCCTGACCAAGTAGGATTCATACCAGTTATGAGAAACTCAATCAATGTAATCCAACACACAAATAAACGAATCACATGATCGTCTCAATCGACACAAAAAAGACATTCTATATAGTCCAACACCCATTCCTGATAAAAACATTCAGTAAAACAGGAAGAGAAGGGAAATTCTGCAACATAATAAAGGGCATCTATACAAAACCTGGAGCCCTGGTGGCATAGTGGTTAAGAGCTAGGCTGCCAACCAAAAGGTCGGCAGTTCAAATCCAATGACCAACATCATTATCAATGGAGAGAGGCTGAAAACATTCCTCCTGACAACAGGAACAAGACAAGGATGCCCTTTATCACCACTCCTATTAAACATTGTGCTGAAGTCCTAGCTAGAGCAATAAGTCAAGAAGGAGAAATAAAGGGGATCCAAATTGTAAGGAAGAAGTAAAACTATCCCTATTTGTGGATGATATGATACTATTTATAATAGCCCCTAGGAAAAAATGAAAAAGAAATATTTAGGAATAAATCTAACCAGGGACGTAAGAGACCTATACAAAGAAAACTACAAAACATTGCTGCAAGAAACCAATAGAGACCTACATAAATGGAAAAAAATACCATGCTCCTGTATAAGTAGGCTCAACAGTGTGAAAATGTCGATTCTACCCAAAGCAATCTACAGATACAATGCAATCCTGATCCTAATGCCAATAGCATTATTTAAAGAGATAGAAAAATGAATCATTAATTTTATATGGAAAGGAAAGAGACCCTGGAGAAGTACAGTATTACTGAAGAAGAACAAAGTAGGCGGCCTCACATTACCTGACCTCAGAACCTACTATATAGTTACAGTAGTCAAAACCGCCTGCTACTGGTACATGACAGACACACTGACCAATGGAACAGAATTGAGAACACAGATGTAAGTCCATCTATCTACTGCCAGTTGATGTTTGACAAGGCCCAAATTCTATTAAATAGGGAAAAGACGGTCTTTTTAACAAATGATATTGGCAAAACTGGACGTCCATCTGTAAAAGAATGAGATAGGACCCATATCTCACACCATATGCAAAAACTAATTCAAAATGGATCAAAGGCCTAAATATAAAACCAAAAGCTAAAAAGATCATGGAAGAAAAAATAAGATCAATGCTAGGGACCCTCATATATGGCATAAATAGGATACAAACCATAACTAACAATACACAAACACCAGAAGATCTTCTGGATCTTCTAAAAATTGAACACTTATGCTCTTCCAAAGATTTCACCAAAAGAGTAAAAAGAGAACTTACAGCCTGGGAAAAACATTTTAGCTATGATATATTCAACAAAGATCTAATCTCTAAAATCTATAGGAAATTCAACACCTCTACAACAAAAAGACAAATAATTCAATTAAAAAATGGGCAAAGGATATGAACAGACACTTCACCAAAGAAGACATTCAGGTGGCTAACAGACACATGAGGAAATGCTCGTGATCACTAGCCATTAGAGAAATGTAAATCAAAACTACAATGAGATACCATCTTACCCCGACATTACTGGCACTAACCAAAAAAAGTAGAAAATAGCAAATGTTGGAGAGGTTTTGGGGAGATCAGAACTCCTACGCACTGCTGGTGGGAATGCAAAATGGTAAAACCATTTTGGAAAATGGTACGATGCTTCCTTAAAAAGCTAGAAATAGAAATACCATATGACCCAACTATCCTACTCTTAGTAATATAACCAAAAAAACCAAACCCGTTGCGGGTGAGTAGATTTCAACTCACAGAAAAATAAGAGACATCACAGGAATAGACATATGCACATCCATGTTCATTGCAGCATTATTCACAATAGTAAAAAGATGGAAACAACCTGAGTGCCCATCAACAGAAGAATGGATAAACTATGGTACATACACACAATGGAATACTAAGCAAAGATAAAGAACAATAATGAATCTGTGAAACATCTCACAACATGGATGAAATCTGGAGGGCATCAAGCTGAATGAAATAAGTCAATCACAAAAGGACAAATACTGTATAAGACCACTATTATAAAAACTCATGAAAAGATTTACACACAGAACGAAACAATCTTTATGGTTATGAGGGAGGGGCTAGGTGAGAAGAGAAAAACACTAACTAGATAGCAGATAAGTGGTACCTTTGGTGAAGGGTAAGACAGTACACAATACTGGGGAAATTAGCACACCTTGACCAAGGTGAAGTCATAGATGCTTCACAGACACATCCAAACTCCTGAGGGACCAAGTTACTGGGCTGAGGGCTGGGTCCATGGTCTCGGGGGACATCTAGATTAATTGGCATAACACAGTTTAATAAGAAACTGTTCTACATCGGACTGTGGTGCCTAACGTCTGGGGTCTTAAGAGCCTATAAGTGGCCATCTAAGATACATCTGCTAGTCCCATCCCAGCTAGAGCAAAGGAGAATGAAGAAAACCGAAGACATAAGGGAAAGATTAGTCCGAAGGACTAATGGACCACAACTACCACAACCTCCACCCAGCTGAGCCCAGAACAACTAGATGGTGCCTGGCTACCACCACCAACTACTCTGACAGGGATCACAATAAAGGGTCCCGGACAAAGCTGGAGAAAAATGTAGAAAAAAATTCAAATTCACACACACACACAAAGACCAGACTTGCTGTTCTGACAGAGACTGAAGAAACTCTAAGAGTTTAGCCCTCAGACACCCTTTTAACTCAGTACTGAAGTTACTCCCAAGGTTCATCCTTCAGCCAAAGGATGGAAAGGTTTATAACCTGTTGCCGTCAAGTGGATTTCAACTTATAGCGACCCTATAGGACAGAGTAGAACTGCCCCATAGAGTTTCCAAGGAGCATTTGGTGGATTTGAACTGCTGACCTTTTGGTTAGCAGCCAAACTCTTAACCACTGTGCCACCAGGGCCCCAGACAGGTCTATACGGCAAACAGTAACACGTGTGAGGAATGTACTTCATAGTTCAATCATATGTACAAGACTAAATGGGCACACTAGCCCAAAAGGAAAGACAAGAAGGCAGGAAGGGACAGGAAAACTGGACAAATAGAAACAGGGAACCCAGAGTGGAGAAGGGGAGAGTGTTGACAAGTCTCGGGATTGACAATCAATGTCACAAAACAATTTGTGCATTAGTTGTTTAATAAGAAACTGTTTTGCTCTGTAAACTTTCACCTAAGCACAAAAAAATGAAAAAGAAACGAAGGCTCAATAAATACAAAAAATAAGAGTACCAAAAAAAAAAAAAAAAAAAAACCCTTGGAAACCCTATGGGGCAGTTTTACTCTGTCCTGTATGCCACTAAGAGTCAGAATCAACTCAACAATGGGTTTTTGACTTTGTGTTTAGGGAGCTTCCCTCTGTTTGATCTTTTTGTTCTTTAACTCCTTCTTGAGATATATTCAGCATGCTCTTTAAGTCATCCATTGAGTTCTTTTAGTGCTATATTTTATGTTTACAAAATTTTTAGTAGTTTCCCTTCCATAATCACTTGCAAATGTTTTCTAAGACTCTTTTTCTTGTTTGATAACTTATGTTCTTGTTTCTTGGTTGCTAATCACTGATTTAAGCAGGAAAAAGATGTTCTGTTAAATATTCAGTTCACATTCTTGAATTGGAAGTCCTGTTCATGGTTTATACTGATTCCTTTGTTTGCAAAGTTAGGGAAGTTGGACGACTCTCTTGAGTGAGGAAACCCTGTTATAACTTTATTTAATATTAGTTGTATCAAGAACAATACTCTCTGTTCAGATAATCTCAGTATTCTGATCTGTATGCCTGAAAATGCAATTGAGTATAGTTTTCTTCTACTGTTTGAGTCTTTGGGTCATGTTAAATTGCAGACTGGTTGTACCTAACTCCCTACGGACAATTATACCAAAGTTAAGTGAAGAGCTCTGTAAGAAGCAGGATCTGATAGAGGGGTAGAGGGTGCAGGAGCACACCAAGAGGAAAATGATGCTACAGGAAGAAAGAGAACATTAAATGGGAAATGAATGAATAGAATATTTTACTTATCTCACAGTTTTGTTTCCAACACACCTTCACAACAGCCTACAATTTGCAAACAAATTGACAGAGGTTTGGACCCTATGAACTTATTTCTAAATTCAACTTAGAAATTGACATCAATCTGTTTTCTGAAATCCATCCTCTAAACCTTTACCATCATTTTATGTGATTCCCAACAAATTATAAGAACATAAAAAGGGAAGCAATTTTACATATAGATGTAAGTAATATACTCACTCCCAAAATCTGTTGTAATAGATATTCTTCTATCAATAAATTTAGATTTATAATAAGATACTTCCGATTCACAAGTATAATTTTTTTGAGGGTCAAGTTTTTCCAACTTAATTTGGTAATGAGAAGAGGATTCATTTCCTGAAATAAATATTACATTTGAGTATATTAGCACAATGCATCACATTTAGATTGAAAACCTAGGAAAATGATAAAAATAAGAAGTCAAAGATTCTGAAAACTACTAAGTAATGCATGGTTTTGCTGCATTCAATTTTGAAGAACATATTTAGCAGATACAGCTTAAATTGAGTTTGCCTCTACTTTAACTCATCTAGGAATGATGCATTAGTACCAGCAATCTCTGTTCAAAAACTGAGCTTGTGCCTGAGTTAGCATTTATACTTAATAGATGTTCTACATAAATCATTGTTTTATCATCAATCTAGCATATGCTTGCTTTTGTTTTCCTCATACTACTTGTACCATAGCCATGCATCTTCCCCTTCATATGATGATTATAACCATTGCCACACCCATCCTGTGTGTGTAACTTGCCAAATATGGTCTGGTAGATTGTTCTATGCCAAGAGGTAGGAGATTCCAACTCATTAAGTTCAAATACACCTACAAAGTGCTAAGAAATGCTATCTCAATTATTGCCCCTCCAATCTGAACTCAAACTCATATTTCTAGACTCACTTCCTGTACTTTTTCCACTTCCGTATCATCCAAGTGTCCTTGCACTTAGTTATGAATTTATTTGTTGGAGGGTTGACAAAGTCAATTCTTGAACCATATAATCTTATGTGTGTTTTCCTCTCATTCTAACAGTATGTGTATCATCATTCCCTTATAACACCTTTTTCCCATAATCTCTCCAACAATGCCTTGTGTATGACAGCTGCCGTGAAAACTCTTATAAATTAATTGACTTTTACTATTTTAAAAATTTGTCAGGAGGAATATTTGTCTATCTTGTGAATTAGGTAGTGTTAAATTTCAGGCTGCTGGTATCTAATAGAGAATACAATTATTTGACTCCAAACATACCACAGGTGAAATGTGGGGGAAAAAAATAAAATAAAGAAAGAATGGACGAGGGAGGGGATAGAAGGAGAGAAGGAGAGAGAGAAAGAGAATTAGACAATATACGGAGTGACTTTCCACCCAAAGAAATAATCTGATCAATGGTATATTCTTACCACAGTTAAATTTGTAGGTAATACCTTCCTCCTTACAGGAAATTTTACCAATTATGTTCCACTCTAAACAAATAGAAGTATTTGCTTCTTCAGGATCTGTACAATCATGTAACTCAAACTTTTCAGGCTCTGTCAAGGAGATACAGAAATATGACATGATCAATATTTCATAATTTTTTGCTATATTATCAATTACAGTCACTAAAATTATACCATGATATGGAATGTAAGCATTGAGATTGCTTTTGAAAAATTATAATTTATCTGAGTTTGATGTTTCTCGATTATTTATTTTTTTTAACATCATACATTTTGATAGTTTTCATGTAGAATTTATGTTACCTTGTTTAGATAAAATTGCAATGTTTGCACATTTTAAAACATTCATTCCATTTTGCTTTCCTATTTATACCTTCTTTTTTTTAATTTACTCTTTGATTTTTAATTGAATGATTACAGAATATTGGGGCTTTCTCTCTTGGGAAATGCATCTTTTTAAATTGTCATTTTATTTGTTTAACTGACTGTTTATTTCTGTAATATTTAGAGAAAGTGAATAAATTAAATTAGGTTTTTTTTTTTTTTTCCCAAAAAACTGTCAGATTCTAACCTATTTAGATGTTAATTGGTCAAGGATCTTGAATTAGTAAATGATGTGAGACATGCAAAGTTGCATAGCCTCTAAATTCCTTTTTCAAAATGCATTTTGCTAGGATAAGATTTTGTTGGGATATGCTTCAGTGGAATCTCTCTGACATCTTAGTCCTTTCCCTTTCCCAGTAGTGGCTTAGTCGGCAAACCATCCTGATTGCCTTAACATGACTAAAACTCTCCTTTTTGTGAAAGCATTTGTCTTCTTTCCATAAACATCACATCCCTGACTTTTTGTTTTTCTCCCAAAATATTCCAAACTTGCATTTAAAAGGATAAATATATGTACATATGTATTTAATGACTTGAATTAAATAAAGGAGGAAAAAAAAAAGCTAGTGGATAATCACTTAAACCCATTGCCATCAAGTTGATTCTGACTCATAGCGACCCTATAGGACAGAACAGAACTACACCATAAGATTTCCAAGGAGTGGCTGGTGGATTTGAACTGCCAACCTTTTTTTGGCAGTCATAGCTCTTAACCACTGCACCACCAGCACTCCAGGTAATCATGTAGTAGGATACATTATATGTAATCTGCAGGAACCTCTCTGTAAAAGATACGGGGAGGGCTAAGGGAAAAAAACAGAAGGTTTATATTAACTTATAACTTTTACTGGATTAAGAGAGCAGACAATTCCTCTGCTTGTATATTGTTGATTCATTTCCCTCAGCCCTATTCCTGTGACTGTTACACCACACCACACATGAAATTTTACTGTTTTTGTAAATATGCAAAGAGAAGTAAATTAGTATTTACCTGGTGGTACTTTTAACTGTAAAACTTTAGAAGGAGAAACACATGAGTCTCCGGATATATTAACAGAAGTAAGGGAACATGCAATTAGGTTTTGACATGAAGGTTCACACTTCACTTTGTCTGTAGTCTTTAACTCTGCAGTATAAACCTTGCTTGTGTTGTTATATGAGTATTTCACAGAGATTGATGCATATTTTTTATCTGAAAGAAAAAAATAAGATGATTTTCTATTATTCTCAGAGTGAATAAATCTATATTAAATATAAACGCCTTAACATATAGTTTCAAAAATACAAAATCACTAAAAAATATCCACAGGAATATGAAAAATAGAAGAAACACATCAGGTCCCTCTATACATTATTTTTTCATGGTTCCCTTATCAATGTTCCCAGCTTGCAAGTTTATATTTGGATGATTATTGAGCTAATGTCTGTCTTTCTAATTGGATTGTAAATTCCATGAGGGCAAAGTCCAATTGATTATGATCATAACCATGAATCCAGTCCTTGCATCATACTTGTCATTAGTAGGAGCTCAATAATTACTTGTTGAATGATGCACAAATGAATCATGAATCTAACAATTTCTTCTTCTCGCTTTATAATTTCCCTTGCTTTATAAAATGTAGTTAGTTATTTGTTCCTCCGAATATGTGGAACATTAATTATTCCGAGACCACAGACCCTCATTCATTCCTTTACTTCTTAAAAGTATTACTGATAATATGCCTTCCTAAGAACCTTTCCTTAGTCTCATCTCTCACACTCCTGCCTTTCTTTCAACAATTTCTATTCAGTGGTAAACGTATCTTTTCAACCAGTATTAATTTATTCACCAAAAAAATTATTAAGCCCTTATTTTATTGAAGACCTTAAGGGCTGAAGGACTAAAAATACATAGGCTAGTCAAACACGGCCATAGCTCTCAGAAACATGCAGTCTAGCAGGGGAGACAGACACAAACATGAATTGTAGAAGACATGGAAACACCTATGACAGGATTTCGCACAAAATAATATGAAAGTAAAGACGAGAGCAGCCTACTCAGATTGAAGGAATAGAGGAGAAATTCCAGAGAAGGTGATTCAAGTTCACCTTTAAAATATGCATAAACCTATTGCCATTGAGTCAATTCTGACTCACAGCAATCCTATAGGACAGAGTGGAACCGCTCCTTGGAGTTTGCAAAGCTGTAATCTTTATGAGAGCAGACTGCCACATCTTTCTCCCACAGAATGGCTAGTGTGCTTGAACCACTGACCTTTTGGTTAGCAGCCAAGTGCTTAACCACTGTGCCACCAGGGCTCCAAAAATATGAATAGGAGATATCAAACCAGATATGGGGTGGGTGTAGAGTGGAATTCCAAGGGTAGAGGAAAAATAAAGCGTATAAAGGCACAGAGGTAGGAAGGAACAGTATGTGTTTGGTAAACTATAAGTAGTCCCATATTGCTAAAGTGAAGAGTGTATCAAGGCAATGAAGCAAGAAGAGAAGTACATGGGAACATAATCATAAAAGATCATATTAATCAAACATGCTCATGAAGACTGCTCATTACACTAAACGCATGGAGAGCTACTAAAGGCAGCGACTTATTCCTACAGAAACATGGAGGGCATCTTAGGTGGGGCAGGATTAGAGTTAGAGGATGATTTAAATAAATACATCAGCAACCCCAGGTGAATGATGATGGTGTCCAGAATTATCGTGGAGGGTGACTGAGTTGCAGATATATCTAAGAAGTAAAATTGACAGAATTTGTTCTATGAAAGGGCATTAATATAGAATGTTTGGGACAGAGTCCAGTAATAGTGGTGACTATATATATAGGACTTGGTGACTGAATAGACATATTTTAATAAAATATATTGAATAAATGAATGAATGATCAAATAAGTTATGAATTATGAATGAAAGAGAAAAATGGGTAGGAGGAAGTTGGAGTAGCTATTGGTTTTTGGCTTGGATATCTTTGTGGAGAATGGAACATAGGGGAAAACAGTTAAAAAACAAAATAAAACAGATGATAATTCTGTTTCCAACTTACTGAGTTTGATATGCCTTCAAGACATCCAGGGAATATAGAGTTCCAACAGATAATTTCACACTGAATATAGAGCTTTGGTAACCATCAGCTTATAATAAGTGTTAGCTGAAGCAATGGATTTAGGTGAAAAGGATGAAGAGAGAAAGGGAAAAGGCAGAAGGCCTGGAAAAGCCATTGATTTAAGAGTCAAAGAATCTCCAGAAAGTTGAGTAAAGGCATTACTAGAGAAGGAGCATGAAAAATAGAGGAGAGCTGTGTCAGAGAACCAAGGGTCAGAACAATATTGTCAAGAGAGTAGTCAGATGTTTCAGATGTCACAGAGAGTTCAAGAAAGAGAAGAAGTTGGTTATCCATGATTTAAACAAAATCGATTTAAGGAGATCATATAATTAGCAGCTAACATGTGTTGAGAAAGGCTTGGGCAGTGAGTAAGAAGAGATAGAAAATGTATACAATTCCTGCAAAAGGTTTAGCTGTGAAAGGAAAGAGAGACCATTCTTAGAAGGCAAGGTGGGATTGAGAGAAGTTTTTACCTTGTGTTTCAATCTGTAATGGATCTAAGAACTATATATACATATATATATAGAAGTAAGTAAACTATTCGAAGAGATGGAGAGATTAAAGGTAAATGAGAGATGGTTTGCCTGATGTGCAAAGTATTTCAAGTTAGAATGAATGGATGAGGTTTAGAAACAAACAGGGGATTAAACCCTGACTAGGAAGAAGGACTCCACCTCCACAGAGAAGGACATAGGAAAAGAATGGATACAAACTATTCTCAAGTATCTGCTTTGAGCCAGGCCCTGCACTGGGTGAGAGAAAGGGAAACTGTTTTCCTACTTGATAACCCTTGAAGGAATTACCCACATATTACATTTATCATCATACTAAATTGTTGACCCTGCCCCAAAACAAACTTGCTATTACCCTTTTACAGATACCCAAACTGAGGTTAAGTAGCTTTACCAAAGTTATTTAGACAGTGATAGCTAATCTCGGTATCTCAAACAGGTCTGAATATGAAATCAAAGATTCTTGCCACGGATAGACACTGTCTCTTAAGATCTGGAGTTAATCATTGGTGAGAAATCAGAGCCAGTGATTTTAGATCTTGGACGCTTGGGATAAAGAAGGGAAAATTTAAAGAGCTAGTCCAAAGTAATATGTACTACCTCAAGGAAAACTTACCACATGATTCCTTAGCTGGAGTAGTAGCTGTAATAGAAAAAAAAAAGGATGGAAATTATTAAAATTGTGGTTTAGAATATCTCTGCTATAGTCATGTCAAAGAAAGGTGATTTAACGTGTTTTGACTTTGCAAACTGTAAAGTCTATGTAGTTTGATTTAATAGATAATACAGGGCTTGCCATGCTTAGTACAATGTTTTGATCTCAAGACTTTAAATGTTACAAACTAATAAACTTGTTCAATAAAACATGTTCATACCAATTAACCAGAGGGTAATGATAATAAAATCAAGACTTTCCTAGGACACATCTGATCGTGGTGTGCTGTAATGGCTAAATTTTCATGTAGCCAAAAATATTTCAAAGGTCCTCATCTTCTTGACTAATCTCGAAATAAGTTTACATAAGTATGTGTCATACAGTGTAGTTTATACCTTTGTTAAGACAAAAAATGTATTGCCACATATTCTAGTTTAACTTTTGAGAAGCTTTTTGCACATATACTACAGCCAGGGTAATAAGTGCTCTCTCAACAAATTGAGTAGTTATCTTGAATGAACATATGGATTTAGCTGAAGAACTGGATGGAAATGTGCTTTGTGGAAGCTGACTTCTCTGCTAGTCTTGTCTCTAGCTGGATGACTTGCAAGCTCTGTCATTGCTGATCAACTTTACAGACAAACCAGTTGTCGTCGAGTCTACTCTAATTCACGGCGACCCCATGTGTGTCAGAGTAGAACTGTGGGCTCCAGGGTTTTCAATGGCTGATTTTTTTGGAAGTAGATTAACAGGGCTTTTTTCCAAGGTGCCTCTGGGTGGACTTGAACCTCCAAACTTTCAGTTAGAAGCCGAGTGGGTTAACCATTTGTACCGCCCAGAAACTCCATTTTACAGATCCCGTAATTGCTGTGGCCATTCCCTTTAAGCCCCGTTTCCTCCAAGCCCCTACACTCGGCTGGAACTCTGCAACCAGGCCTCTACTACTCACCACTTAGAATGAAGAGCAATGTTGATAGGATTGTTCTTTTTTATGCTAATACCTGAACCCACTCTTAGAGAAAGAAGTTCTAATATATTTGGTCATTTCTCCAGTATTTTCATAAAACAAACAACTCTTGGGGGATGCCATTATAACAATATGATGGGTAATGACAGCCACGTTATAATATCCTGATCCCGTTAGCTGCTGCACTGCTAAAATAGATGAGTACTTTTGACAAACTGCTGTTCCACACCTTCTGGATTAGAACACTTAATTGAACTACTCAAAGAAAGGACCCCAAGGCAGAACAAGTGGGGAATGCTTCTGTGAGCATGTCTCCAGGCCCATGGTGCTATGACTATGACTGAGGGTAAGGTTGTCACCTGCGGTTGTTAAATTCATTGTACGGTCAGCGCTTATAGAATTGTCCAGAGTGGATGGCGCAGTGCTTGTAAGTTGGGAATCTGCAAGGAAATGAACAGAAGGATAAAAGTTAATGAGTTTAATATTTTGAAGGGTGAGGGAAAAACTCTTTAGCAAAGATCATTTCCTAACTAAATCTTTGCTTAGGAATCCTTGTTTGAATTGACACTTGCTTTTTTTTTTTTTTTAAGTAATCAAGTGGATCAACGATTTATCTACAAATCACTTTTTAAGATAGCTAATATTTCAAGTAATTTGAAGTAAACCTTGTACAAGTTGAGGGGAAACTATTTGTTCTATGGTATAATTCTTACCTGATATGCAATCTTCCTCCAACTAATTCTTTCTCTTTTAATTACAACTTTTCTTATTTTAGATACTAATAAGGAATCCAGTTACCCTTTTGGAATATTTCTATAGAACTGTCCCATAGGGGTTCCAAGGCTGTCATCTTTACAGAAGCAGACTGCCACATCTTTCTCCCTCGGAGTGGCTGGTGGGTTCGAACTGCTGACCTTTCAGTTAGCAGCCAAGCGCTTAACCACTGCGCCACGAGGGCTCCTCTATTCATTACATGCTAGGCATTTGACATATTCACTCCTCACACCAATCTTATCAATGGGTATTAGTATATCTATTTTTACAGAACAGAAAACTGACACCCAGAAAGTATTAGTAGCATGTCCTAAGGTCAACTAGAAAGTTGTAGAGGCTAGAGCTGATCCCTGACCTATACGTCTATTATCTTTCTTCTTTGCCATGAACTTTCATAAAACCCATTGCTGTTGAGTCGATTCCGACTTATAGTGACCCTATAGGACAGAGTAGAACTGCCCCATAGAGTTTCCAGGAGCGCCTGGTGGATTCGAATTGCCGACCTTTTGGTTAGCAGCGGTAGCGCTTAACCACTACACCACGAGGGTTTCCTGAACTTTCATAATAGTAATAATAAAATAAAACATGTCCAGAAAAAGCTTACTGGCAAGGTTCTTCTGCCTAGTTTAGTAGCAAGATATGCAAATTCGTAAAACAAGATACTGCAAATCATTCTTGGTGTGGAAGAAAAGGGCTGCATTAAAGTGCAAGGTTCCATTTCATTCCCCATTGTCTAAAACACCTAGAGCAACACAGTCAAACCTGAGGAGTTATCGCGGGTCATGATGTTGGAGGTGCGTGAAGGTAAGTCAGCAGTGGGGCTGCTGAGTGCAGGGCTGAGGGGGGTTACAGATGTGAAGTTAGTGTCTGCGGGAGAGGTGGTGAATGTGCTGCCGTCTCCTGGGACACCTGCAATCAGAAAGGCCATCAGCACTGTCACTTGTTCCTGCCACATAAGGACAATGGTCAGCCAGCCAGCGTGAGCATGATCCCTAAAGCTAGCCCAGAACACTCTTGCTATGCCGCAATATGCCCGTTCCACAAAACTGCACTAAAAACATCAAGGCTCAAAGATGAGCTTGGAGGCCGACCACTGGAAACTTATGCAACTTTGTAAGCAGAGCACATGTTTTAAAAAATGAGTTGGGACCTCAAGAGCTAGCTTGAACCATGCAGGAGGCCAAGCTTCCTGGCTGAGGGCTGTTCTGGTTATTTGTTGCCAACGAGTTGATTCTGACTCATGGCAACCCCATGTGTGCAGAATAGAACTGCTCAATACAGTTTTCAAGTCTGTGACCTTTCCGGAGCAGATCACCAGGCCTTTCTTCCAAATCACTTCTGAGTGGGTTCAAACTGCCAACTTTTTGGCTAGTAATGGAGCACTTAACCGTTCGCACCACCCAGGGACTCTGAGGGCTACCCTAAAACCAAGCCCGTTGCCATTGAGTCGATTCTGACTCATACCGACCCTATAGGACAGAGCAGAACTGCCCCATAGGGTTTCCAAGGAGCAGCTGGTGGTTTCGAACTGCCAACATTTTGATTAGGAGCCAAGCTCTTAACCACTGCACCACCAGGGCTCGGAGGGCTGCCCTAAAACCAAAATAACCAAACCTGTTACAGGAGAGTCGATTCTGACTCATAGCGACCCAATAGGACAAACTAGAACTGCCCCATAGGGTTCCCATAAGGTTTCCAAGGAGCAGCTAGTGGCTTCAAACTGCTGACCTCTTGGTTAGCAGCCATAGCTCTTAAATACTGCACTGCCCTAGGGGACATTAAAAAGGCACCAGAACAGTGGAGCTGGATGCTGGCTAGATAGTGCTGAGGCCTCGCAGATAGAAGTGGAACTCTGAGCTTCAAAGTCCGTGTGAAGCCTGGCACAGGAGGAAGTGCCACCTGACATGTGCTGAGCGATTCCCTTGAGAGTGCACCTCTCCAGGGAGGGACGCTGCGTGCAGGTGCTTCATTTTGACTTTCTTAAAATAGAGCTGAATTGGCTTCTCTTGTGCAGCAGCTGAGATGAGTGGTTTTTCTTTTCTAGCTCAGGTTTGCAATGCTACTTTTGCTCTTCTTGCCAGGAAAGATCAAATTGCTTTGGAACCAACAAGCCTCCACATTATACTGACGTCATGTCCTTGTTTTCCCATCACTTATGAGCTCATTGTTATTCTAGAGTCAAATGTTGCAGCAGAAGAAAATGCACATTCTATTCATTCAGGACTCATCAGGCATCAAAACACCTAATGTATGGGACATCTTTCCCCAGACGTCATGTGCAAAATTGCAGCACAGACAATCAATTTATCTTCACTGGGTGCCTTCTAGACAACTAGCACTCTGCTAGTTTTCATGGCAAAAGCAAAATAAGTACAACCCAGTCCCTATTTGAGCTCATTTGATTACTTTGCTGGCCAGGATCCCTGAGGTCATCAATCCAATGATTTGAGATGAGTTTCTCATTTGCAGTGAGATTCTCAGCGTATCAGCAGACTGATGCGTGCACACACGTTCTGCAAATGATGTGAGCATGCAGGCATCCTCCAACTACAAACGAGTGTAATCCATAACGTCATATATGCACTCCATTAGAATCGGGAATGTGTCTTACAAAAGATAGACTTTGGTTCTCGGTTCACTTAACTCCACTTACCCCCAAAATATAACAAAAATCATACGTCCACAGACTAGAATAAATAATACAAACATCAGTTCCAGGTCCTCAGAGTAGAGTTTCAACAGAACAAGGAGGACAGGCGAAGGTATAGTTATTTACCACTGCCTACCCTTTTTTAACCATGTTAAACACAGAACTGACCCTCTGTAAAGTATTAAAATCAGCTGGGTTTGTTTTGTGTCTTCTTTCACCTTCTTTTCTATTCCACTCTCACTAACTTGCTCTCCGCATCCCCAAGCAGCCACTGTCCCCACATCCCCATGCTCCTCTGTGGCTCCCACTCAGCCTCCAGGAAGCTTCCCAAATTCCCTCCCTTTCCTCTTCACATGAAAACTCCTTTGCCCTCATTGTGTAGATCATGTCAGTGATGGAGAATAGGAGTGATAATTTTATTTTAATTAAGTTTATTAATGCTAATAGATTTTTAATTAATAGAGTTAGTTACTGCGAGAAGATGAACTTCCTGAGCTGGCAAAGGGAGTTTGTGAGACCATCAGCCCCTGGGGAATCAGTCCTCTTTAGTAGTTTTACAGCTTCTTCCCATCCACAGCTTCTGAACCTGTGGATTTGCTAAAAGCTCCAAATCTTTTGACTGCAGTTCCTGTGACAGCTGGAGTGGGTGCAGTGAGGTGGGTAGGGGTGTATAGTTGAGGGTAGCTCTTTTCCCAATTGTTTAAAGTTGGTGGGTTGCCTACAGTGATTTGTATGCCAAGGGGATACCTTAAATATTTCAAAATAACTGTTATTCTATCTGGTGTGTTTAATGTACATATTTTCTCATACCTAAAACAAGGACACTACAGTGCCAGCCACATAAACCAACACCAAACTCACTGCCATGGAGTTGATTCTGACTCATAGCAACCCTATAGGACAGAGTAGAATGGCCCCCATAGGGTTTCCAAGTCTGTAGATCTTTACAGAAGCAGACTGCCACATCTTTCTCCCGTGGAGCAGCTGGTGGGTTGGAACCGCTGACCTTTCGGTTAGCAGCTGAGCGCTTTAACCACTGCGCCACCAGGGCTCCGTAGCAGCCACATAGGCTCCCCATTTACACCTTTAACTTTCAGGCACTGAGGTCGCTAAACTTATATATGTGGCTATATGGATTTGTTACCTGAGAAAGGACATACTTGCTTTTTGAGCATTAAAAAAAGGGCATCATAAATTTATGTAGACATTGATTTTGGAAAGATAAGAGAAGGAATATTTATAAATACAGAGATGTTCAGCTGAAGATATCTTGATGTTTGAATGGGAAATATGAGCATCTATTTGTTCTCATTCTTTAACACTTTAATCATGTTCACAATTTCTCAGTGCTTTTGATTGATGATAGGAGTTACGTAATCATTGTTTTGCTTACTGTTAGTATATTTTTAAGAGAATGAGATATATTATTCCTTAATACTAGCAAAAACAAGTTTTCACTGTACAATGGTACTTGCCCCAAATATAAAGCAATATTACAGTGCCCTGTATAACTGTTTCCTCCTGAACATGTATTTGCTGTATTCTCACAATCCTTGTTCTTTATGATAGCATCTCTATATCCTAAGCGTGACTATAAAGGTATGAAATTTCAAATTCATCTACTAGCAAGTGCTACACGTTGAACAAATGTTTGGATTTCCTCACACCATTCTTCAATACAGGCAGTTCTCATGCACTCTCCTTTCCTGTATGCATAAATCTGAAGGACCCGCAAACCTGTTATATCATTGCTGCCAAGAGTCGGGGTGAGTGCGGTAAGTGCAACCTCGCTGCTGTGTGTGTGATTGTCAGATCCGGCAGAGGGCGCCTGCGAGTTTGCGTGCGTGGGAAGGTGAGGCATCTGTGTTGTTATAACACCTAAGATGAGAAAGTGAGATCGTTACATCAATCTTCCCCCACTTCTTAATAAAAATTTAAATACTAACAGGCTGTAAGCGGCAAATTGCTATCATAGTTCACCCAACTGTGAAATGACCCAATCTGTTGAAATGTGTCGGCGGTATTTAGGGTCGTTTGACAGGAAGGTGGCACCTGCATTCCCGATTACACATCCCTGGGGTTGGGACGTCCCCTGGCCTGTGTGCAGCCATAGAGGACTCACGGGCCCAGGTTGGTTTTTTACTTTCAAATCACTATGAGATTTTTTAATTCTCCATCAACTCCGCAAACTGAAAGTTAAGGCATTTATTTGTAGGCAAAATAAGAAGGAACGTCCCAATACAGTAGGATCTACTACGAATCAAAAAGATAAGAAGAAACCTAAACTGTTTCAACTATTATATTGGCAAAGCGTTGAAATATTTAGTGTCTTAAAACGTGTGGCAAAACAGTCACACACACACACACACACGCTCATCGAATCATGCATGGAGTAGTTTGGAAGCTATACAATAATGGTTAGAATGGTGTCTTTTAGAAGTAGGATTTGGTGGCATGGATTTTCATTTTGTGTATACATACATACACACATATAGACACTTGTATGTATATCTGCTTCCATATTGATAACGTTTTCAACATGTGAACTACTGTTACAAAAAGAAGACTACATAATTATATTAATGATATGCATGTGGATGCTAATTGTAATTATTTTCCAGAAGGAGCAATTTTGAAAAAGAAAGAAAGAGCAATTTTGAATGGCATATATCATTAGAAAAAAGAGGTAAAGAGATTTTGTTTTTTCCCTCCTAAGTATATCTGTCAGCAAGAAAACTTTGATTGGATTCTACAATACAAATCAATCAGAAACATATATAGCACGTGTAGAATTTATTCCAGTAGATAAATGAAATATCACCAGATAGCAAGACTATTTTCTAGAAAAGACAATTTTTACTTGAAACCAAGCATAAGAAACTTTCCAAGCTATTTTCACCATCAGTGTGATTGCACCAGAGCAAGTCAGTATTTTAGCATTATGCGTTATCATTTCCAGTCCATTTCATTTTAAGCTTCTTTTCTCTCACACTTTGCTATGTCTGTATTGCTTTAATGTTTTCCAGTAAAAAAAAAAAAAAAAGTGTGAATAAAAACGTAGGAATGGTGCGTGTGTGTGTGTGTGTATGAAGTGAGATGTGGAAGACTTAAAATGGAAAACTCTGGGTGACGTTACTCAGTCAACAAAAAAGTTTAGCATGAAATGTTCTACCTAGTCTTCAGCAGCTTTACCCTCACGTTCTTTTGTAAAAACTTAGGGCAATGAGCTCAAATGCTTACAGTGTTTAGATAGGTGCCACCCGTTACTCTGATAATGGCAGCAAGGAAAAAAAAAGGATGTCAAGATGAAGTAGACAATCCTATAATTACTATAAGAAGGCATTGATCATTTATTTACCTGCTTACTGTAGCTTCTAAACTTCATCAGTATGCTACCTAAAACACTGCAATGTACTGTAAACAAAATTTCTGTGGTTGTCTTTACACTCACTTGTTTTTCAAACTAAGATGAATGATACTGTTCAAATAGAGCAGTTCAAATTTAGCCTTTTTTTCAGCATATGTCTAAAAACCCCTTGCCTAAGAAAATGTGACCTAGCACATTATTTCAGAAAAGGCATGAACAGCTCTCATTGTGGTCTATTTACGAACTGAATCCTCTGACAGATCTAGTCCTAAACGTAAGTTGAGCCGGTCACTGGCATATCGGGTTCTCAGGAACATCCGTAGTCTTTTCTGGCAAAACCTGGCATTTCTCTATGAACAAGGCCATATTGCCTTAAATTCCACCATTAGGACTTCACAGTGCTGATTATTTAAATTAAAAAAAAAAAACTTTTTAAAAATAGTGCAAATATTCCTGGAAGAAATCAAAAAAAAAAAAAAAACTGGGTTACCAATCCTTAGTGTGGATTTTTTTTTTTTAAATAAATTGCCTTATCTTCAATAATTTTATGGTAGTGAGAATCTGGAATGGAACAGAAAGATGGTACGGTTTATTCTTTGGGGTGCCTTCCAGGGGAGGCAGGAATGATGAAGCCTGAAACAAGGTGCTCTAACATGTCTGGGGCTACAGGAGACCTAAGTGAGCAGAGCTGGAGAACGATGCTGATGTGGAGGTTAGCGGACACAGGAAAACTTTCCCCACACGATGTCATTTAGGGGTCTTTCCTCCCTTCCTCTGCTACTGCCTCTCCCTTACAACCTACGTTCATTACTTCTGTCAACAAATATTTAATAAGCATTTAATATGTCCTCACTTTATATGCTTGAACAAAATCACATACCTGAAAATGGCAAGTTAATTTAGCTAATGGAAAACTGTCCCAATAACTTTAGAATTGCAAAAGAAAAAAAAAAAAAAAAACAAGACAAGCTTTTCCTAATACCGTTTCACTTAACAATATCTCTGTGCCAACCTGTCATGTCAGGAACACTAGTATTATTGGAAGTGTCCAGGAATACTTGGGTTGGAATATTGCCTGGAGTCAGAGGAGGTGTGGTCTCTGAAGAGTCATGTCCTCTTTCAGAGATGTTTGCGGGTGAGAATGCAGTGGTGCCAGCAGGTAAGGGGTCACTTGGAGACACAGCCTTGGGCTTGTCTGTTGTAGTCAGTCCAGTTATATTAACAGGAGCTAGAAGAAGGAGAAAATAAATTTGTGAATCATATTCTGAAACATATACTCAACAGAGTTAAACCCTGATCCACCATGGGGTGTGCTTGTGTAAGTACTCCTTACTTACCAACTATCTTGTTATCCGACATTTCATATTTACAACAATACTGTGTATATATATATGTGTGTGTGATTTATATATGCAAATACATATATAAATAAATATGCATATGTGTATATGCATATACGTGCGTAATATACAAATACAGATGCATATGCATATATAGATATAAAACAAGCTACAGAACAGTGGCTAAAGATAAAAATGGGGAAATGGAGTTGAAGGCAGGTATCCCCTGCCCTCTTCTGATTATTTGGTGGTGTTCTCAACAATCCAGAGCAATTAGGTTCAGAACAGAGCCAATGGATAAAGATGATTAAAGGAAATCTTACAAAAGAGCTGTCAATGCAAAAAAGAGAGTGGGTGAAGTTGGAAAGAGATTATTAGGAGGACCAGGGTTCCAGGAGAAGAAAATGAAGGACAGAGCCTCTATCTACATAATGATATTTTTTTTAATAAGTAAAATTTAAACAATTCAAGAGAAATATGGGCAAAGGACTGGAAAACAAAATTCACAAACAAGTAAGCAAATGACCCAAGTATACAAAAATATTCTCAACTTCATGATAATAAAAGACACAGAATTTAAGATATTGCAAAAACATTTTCCAGAGTTCACATTGTTTTTTTTGAAAGAAAAAAAAAAATGATCAGCATGTGGTGAGACAGGTACAGGCCCAGCTGACATGAATGTACAAATGGTCAAAGCTTCTTGCAGGGGAAATTAGCCCCAAGTACCAAAAGCTCTGTGCTTTCTTACTCAAAAAGCATATTTATTTATAATAGACTATGGAAATTACTTAAATTATTTTTTTAAATATCCATTGTGATCTCTGGACGTTGGGATTAGAGATGTGTATTTTTCCCAAGTTTTCTATGTTTAATATGAATTTCTTTCTATAAAGACCAAAACATATTTTGAAAATATTCAATTAACCCAAAAGTGTGTTATTTCACACAAGTATTTTAATCAATGTAATTGATTTTAATTAATGGGTAAGAGAAAATGGCACAAAGAAGGAAAGAGGGGCTGGAGAATGGGAGAAACTAGAAAAAGAGTAAAATGGATAGAACAAGGTAAAATTAAGAACTGGAATTGAGTAGTTACTCAATAGGGAAGTAATAAAATGGAAATAGAAGTTACACAAAGAAACGTTAGCTTCATTTATTAATGCTTTATAAAGTAATACGTTGGTAGTGTTCAAGGTAAAGCGAATTCATTTTTTACTAAATACAGATAAAAACAATCTGATCCATATCGAGTTGCCCCAATGCCAATGCTCATGAAATATCACAGAACTATTCTGTGACTACAGAAATCCAAAGTGATAGTACACTTATTTGTTGTTAGTTGTCATTTGCCCATGACAATTTTCAATTTCTAGAATTTCATGACCAAATAACTCACGAATAAACCCATTTAGTAACAAACTGTCACCCATAATTACATACCAACCTATCCAACCAAGTAATAGGCAAGTTGGTACTTCTTGTTTTCAGTGCAAAAAAAAGAAAGTTTCACTTTACTATTCTCTCATCTGCTGTGTGTTGGGAAAAAAAGGAAGGGAGAAAGACTGAGAGAAAAGAAGAGGAAAGAGAAGTTAAAAAGGGTGGAATAAAGGGAGGCAAGGAGAGAGAGAGAGTAAAGGAGAGAGGAAGGAATCACAAGCTTGAAATTCTGCTCAAGAACTTTAATGAGTTTGCATTCACTGTCATCATTATACCCTTTCCACTGAGCTGATTCCAACTAACAGTGACCCTATAGTGACCCTATAGGACAGAGTAGAACTGCCCCATAGAGTTTGCAAGGCTGCAATCTTTCCAGAAGCAAACTGCCACATTTTTCTCCCTTGGAGCGGCTGGTGAGTTTGAACTGCTGATCTTTCAGTTAGAAGCCGAGCACTTAACCACTGCACCACCAGAGCCCCCAGTTACTGATTTGTTATTTTTAGTTTAAACTATCTTTGGTGTTGGCAGGATTCCAATGATTCCTTTTGCTTTGGGGAGAAATGTTGTAACATGCTGCCTTTATCATCCACTCTCACTTTTTAGTTAGATTTGAACTACAGAGACTAGCATGAATACCACTCCAAATCCCCCCACGTCATAGTGCTCTGCTATTTTGAAAAGAGAAACATTCTTAAGGACTAGTCTAGCTAGACAAATTCTGTCTAGGATACAGGACAATAGGGTGTGCAGAGAACTACCCTCCTACCTAGAAGCCTTAATAGTCTTGCACACAGCTTAAACTCAGGGTGTATTCCTTAGTTTCACGAATAAGAGTATAATTTGGGATTGAAAAGCAAGCTTCAATGGACAATTCCACATTGCCCCTGTATTCATGTGTTTAAATAACCTTGGTGTCACCGTTTAGGGGGTGTTATAATAGTCAGTGTAGAGACCTTTGGAACCTCTTTCAATAAGGTAATGCTGGTCATCTACCATTTTCACCATTCACTCCTCATTCTGCCCCATACTTATTCCCCTCTTGCAAAAATAACCAGTCATACGTTGAAATGAATTTACTGATCTGTAAAAAAAAAAAAAAAAAAAAATGGAGATGGTAAATTGCATGTGAATTGTTGTTGTTAGGTGCCATCGAGTTAATTTTCGACTCATAGAGACCCCATTTGACAGGATTGTCTTGACTGTAATCTTTATGGAAGCACATCACCAGGTTTTCCCCTGCTGAGTTGTTGGGTGTCTTCCAACGGCCAATGTTTCGGATAGCTGCTGACTGTGTAACCTTTGTGACACCAGGGGTCTTTAAATTGCATGTGTGTAAGTGGCTCCACTGTACTGCACACAACAACAGGTAGCATAAACTTATCATAATCTGCTATGCATGAATAACGTTCACATATTTATGAAACCTCGATGCCAAACTATAGAATTGCAATATTTGATATTTTGAAAATAAGAGAAAATGCTCCTTATGCAGATTCAGGAGCAGTTTCTGTTAATATTTGCACAGCTCTTTGTTTTCCATAGTTTGAAATGAATTTTTATTTCATTATAAAAATAATTCCTGCAATAACACAAATTCTCAGAATATGTCAAATGTGCTTCATTTAGAACTGTGCGTTATAATTGTTAAATCAGAATTTTCCCATGGCTTTCCTTACCTTCTTTATACATCCTGTCAATCACAAGATTTAACAAGAAATAAAAATACATTTTCAATAACAAAAGAATAATGTGATACGATTTATTTTTAACTATGTGCAATTTAATTTTTCTTTTTTATTTTGCATTTAATACTTATCAATTGATTTTCAGCATCTTCCTTTTTAAATTTAATTTATCTCAGAATAAGGACCATTGTTAAAATTCTTAATCCAGTTATGCCAGTAGTATTGAGAAATGTTTATTACAAAATATTTTAATAATCTCAAAGCTTTTGCATATTTTTGAACAAGAAAAATTATTCTTTAAAGATAACTAATATATAAGACCATCTATGTTTAGAAATCCTCTGATTTCTCAGAGAATTTCTAAACCCATTTTTTGAATAATTTGTGACCTAATAATTTGAATAAATTTGTGACCTAACTTAAATTCGTTTATTTGTAGTGTTAACATTTTAAAGAGAAGGTTTGACTCCTGCCTTGTTATTTACCAACAATTTTGAGAAAACTTAACGATTTTTACACAATAATACATAGACAAATAATAATATGTTCAGATAGGTTATCAAATTTTATGTCTTATAAGCAAAAATTTAAAAAACAATTGAACGGCAAGAACCATTCATGATTATAAAATTTGTCCTTATAAAATTAATTCACTAGATAATAATTGAAAATTTTATTGACATTAAATACATAAACTTTACAACAAGAAAATAAAATAAGTAAAATGCAAGTATAATTCTCACCAGAATTGGAATCTTGCCCTGCATAAAGGAAAACAAATATCTTTTAGAATTGTTGAAAGTTTGAAAGTTTCAAATTTCATACATAAATACGTAAATACATGTTAGATGTGTATTACCATTTAGGGAAGCAGCAATTTTCAGTACCTTTTACCCAATTAAACTATATTCCTTCTCTTAATGCCATGTTTACAAAGTCCAAGTGTGTCAAAACTATGCTATTGCTTTTTTATACACAGGAAAAATAAGAAAAATAGTAAAGGAGAGGTATTAGGATTAATTTCAAGCCTGCAAAGTCCTTGGAGAGACTTTTAAAAAGTTCTTTCCCAAATGTTTTATTTATCTGATGATTATTTATTGAGCACCTTCTACTTGCTAGTCTTACGCTACATGCTAGTGGCACAATGGTTAAATGCTCGACTGCTAACCATACGGTCTTCAGTTTGAACCCACCAACCGTTCTGCAGGAGAAAGACATGGCAACTGCTTCCAAAAAGATTTACAACATTGGAAACCCTATGGGGCAGTTCTAATCTGTCTTATAGGGTTGTTATGAGTCAGAATAGAGTCGACGGCAATGAATGTAAGGGTAAAATATAATCACGGTAGTGTATTTCCCTGCCGTCAATTTGTTCCATCTACTGTGAGATCAAAAAATCAAATGTGTTGCCATCGAGTTGATTCTGACTTATAGCAACCCTATACGACAGAGTAGAACTTCCCCATAGGGTTTCCAAGGGGTGGCTGGTGGATTAGAATTGCCGACCTTTTGGTTAGCAGTCGAGCTCCTAACCACTGTGCCACTAGGGTTCTTGTGTGAGATATAGACAAAAAAAAAAAAAAAAGCATACAGTATGATGATGAGTGAACCAAAAAATGCTATAGGAGCACACACAATGATCACAAAATTTCAACTCCAGTTTTGGGGACCTGCTGGTGGAGAAGGTTTTGGAGGGTTTCATGGATGCATTTAAGTGGTGACCTAAAGGATTACAGCTACCTTAGTCCTCAAAATCTTTTTAAGAAGTTGGGATTAATCTGAAAGCCTTTGGATAGCCATTGGCCGTCTTTAAGGAGAATTTGACGGAGAAAGATTTGCATTTTAGATCAACCTTGTTGTGAACTGGTAAATGGATTATCAGAAGGAAAAGCCTGGAACAGGAAAATCAGGAGACCAAAAAACAAAAAAAAAAAAAAAAAACATGAGAGAGGATGATGTCCTGCATCAGGGAAATAATACCAAAAGAAAAGAATGGATTCAAAAGATCAAAAGACACTTAGGAAGTACAGTCATCAAGACTTTGTAAATCTGCCATCTAAGATACATCAATTGGCCCCATCCTAGTCACAGCAAGGGAGAATGAAGAAGGCCAAACACACAGGAAAATACTAGCCCAAGGGACTAAAGGACAAAATAAACCAGAGATTCCACCAGCCTGAGACCAGAGGAACTGGATGGTGCCCGGCTACCACCAATGAATACCCTGACAGGGAACACAACAGAGAGTCCCAGACAGAGCAGGAGAAAAATGTAGAACAGAACTCAAATTCACGTAAAAAGACCAGACTTGATGATCTGACAGAGAATGGAGAAACCCCTGAAACTATGTCCCCCGGACACATAGTTAACCCAGAATTGAAACCATTCTGGAAGCTCACTCTTCAGATAAACATTAGACAGGACTATAAAACAAAAATAATGCACGTGAGAAATGTGCTTCTTGGTTCAATCGGATATATGAGACCAAATGGGCAGCTCCTGTCCAAACTCAGGATGAGAAGACAGGATCTGGTCGAATGGACATGGGGAACCCTGGGTGGAAAGGGGGATGTGCTATCACATTGTGGGGATTGCAACTAATGTCACAAAGCATTGTGTGTGTAAATTTTTGAATGAGGGATTAAAAAAAAACTTTGTAAATCTTTGGAAGTGGAGATAAGGAAGGAGTAATAAGGAAAACATTCAAGTTGCTGGTTTAACCTACTAGTGTGTTGCAGTATGTGGACTGGAAGTTTTCACTGAGGTAAGGAAGAACGAAGTCTCAGCAAGCAGGAGGGGAGGCTGATTTGCTAGAGGTTTGTAGCTCCAGGTATACATCTGGGCTGAGACTATGAATCAGCATATAGAAGAATATTGAAGCCACAGGAGTGAAAGTCCCTAAGGTACATAAAAGGGAGGGTCCAGGATAGAATCCTAAAGAAAATGAATATTTAAGGAGTGGGCAGAGGATAAGGGCTGGTGAAGGAAACCAGATTTTCCATACAGAAGGGAACTGAGACAAATGTGTTGTCACAGAGTTAAGAGTCAAGGGTGCTTCAAGAAGGAAATGGTTGATATCAAACATATGAGGACTTACATGCATCAACTGGATTTATCAGCTGGGTTTGTGGGAATGTTACTCAGCCTTGCTGGCATAATGGGAGCTGGATTCAGACTACAGTGGACTAAGACATGTTTTCATCTGCATCTTAGTAAATGTCCAACCTTGATATTTTATTTTCTGAGAATAAGTTGATCTGAAAAAATTAATTTCTCCCCTCAGAGGCGCCATTAGAAGGATATGTCCCAGTTTTCTTGAATCACATTCCCTGGTTTATTCCTTGAAATAAAATATATTTTTATATGATGGGTGATATTACAATGTGTATTTATTTTCTTCTTATCTTTCTCTATTTTGTCTTAATCATTCATTCTTAAGTATTATTTTTAATTTATTTTATTTGTATTTTTTGTCTCTTCTCTTGTTGAGACATCTTTTATCTTTCTAGCTCAAATACAATGATGCCATTTTTATTATCCTGTTATTTACTTTCCCTCTCCTCTTATTGGTTATATTCTCTTTTTTTCCCATCTAAATTAAATTCTTAGAATTGTTCTGATTAACAAAATAAGTAATAAGAAAAATGAAACATTAATTTTGTAGTAACTAATAGCTCTCATGTTTTAAATGAAAGAAAAAATAACCCTCATCGTTATTGTTTATAAAAAATATAGCATATTGCCAATTTAAAATATTCAAATTGTTTTAAGTGTATGAACAAATTCCATATTATATACCTCTCTTCTTTATCTGAAAAATACATAAACCTTTAAAAATCTAAAATTATTTTGATATGTCCCATCTCAATATAAACAGAAATTTCTTAGAAGTTCAAACAAGTTCATTCAGTTCAATTAGGTTCAAGAAACATTATTTTTCCAGGAATACTATTAAATGCTTAGAAGTTCTAACATGGTAGAGGTATGCTCTTTACCTGGGAAAAGCAAAGATATTTAACACTAGTAATTAAAATTCTTTCCATCAGACACCTGCAAAAATCTCAGAACGGGAATGAGGAGGAGAAACAGGTAGAGAAAGAGGAGAAGGAGAAGCAGCTGTAGCAAGGAGCCTTGCACATAATATCAGTAAAACCAGATGTTGTCGATTCCAACTCATTGGCGAGCCCATTTGTTGCAGAGTAGAACCATGCTCCAGAGGGTTCTCAAAGCTGTGAGCTTTTGGGAAGCAGATTGCTAGGCTCTCTTCTAAGGCACCTCTGGGTGGGTTTGAACCTCCAAACTTTCAGTTAGTACTTGAGTGCTTAACAATTTGCACCTCCCACAGGCTCCTTTGCACATAATAGGTGATCGATAAGTAATAGCTGGGTGAGTCTTAGCATGAATACATGCAAAAAAGAAATCAAACCTATCTGATAAAAACAGCTTTCTGAGAAGAGCCAAGTAGCAAGCCTTATAGACCATGACAAGGAGTTTGAATGTGTTCCTGAGAGTGACGGAAGCAACAGGTCAAAGAATATAGGGCACAAATCAAATAAAAGTTTTGATGACAAGGAAAAGAGGAATCTTAACATTACCTGTACCAGCTCCACCACTACTTCTACAGACCACTATACTCTATAATTCTGGCTTATTAGTTTATTGCCACCAAAATATGTAGCACAAATGATAAAGAGAATTTTTATAAGAGAACACTATGTTTACTATAGGTGCCCTCATGATGTAGTGGTTAAACACTTGGCTGATAACCGAAAGGTGGGCAGTTCAAACCCACCAGCCACTCCATGGGAGAAAGATGTGGCAGTCAGCTCCATAAAGATTGTTGTTAGGTGCCATCGAGTCGGTTCCCACTTATAGTGACCCTATATACAACAGAAGGAAACATTGCCTGGTCTTGTGCCATCTTCACAATCGTTGTTATGCTTGAGCCCATTGTTGCAGCCACTGTGTCAATCCATCTTGTTGAGGGTCTTCCTCTTTTTCGTTGACCTTCTACTTTACCAAGCATGATGTCCTTCTCCAGGGACTGGTCCCTCCTGATAACATGTCCAAAGTACGTGACAGGAAATCATCCTTGCTTCTAAGGATGTACTTCATTCAAGAACAGATTTGTTCTTTCTTCTAACAGTCCATGGTATATTCAATATCCTTTGCCGACACCATAATTTAAAGGCATCAATTCTTCTTTGTCCAGCTTTCACATGTATGTGAGGCGATTGAAAATACCATGGCTAGGGTCAGGCGCATCTTAATCCTCAAAGTGACATCTTTGCTTTTTAATACTTTAAAAGGAACTTTTGCAGCAGATTTGCCCAACGCAATACATCTCATAAAGATCACAGCCTTGGAATCTCTGTGGGGTAGTTCTACTCTGTCCTGTAGGGTCGCTATGAGTCAAAATTGACTTGACGGCGATAGGTTTGTTTGTTTGCTTTTTAATTTACTATAGAAATGAGAATATGAATTCTGGGACAATATGTGAAGTTATTTCCTTTTAAAAATAAGAAGTATGAATATTAGAGTAGATATGTTTAAAAAGTTTGTAATCCATACACTATTCATCAGGCCACATACATGTTAAGTGTCTTAGAGAAATTAATTTAATTCAAGGTGCTTCTGAAGCAATTTTTTTTAAAGAAATTAGTAATGTGCAGTATTTCAATCTAAGTTTTGTAAAGAAGGACAAGAGATAAATTACCAAAATAGAGAAGACAATTTCTAGTTTTATATTTTTAAATGTAAA